ATAATTGTTTTAAAGTTCATATTGATGGTTCTCTTAATTTTGTAGTTAGACCTGATTATGTGGTTCTGAAAACAAAGTAGTGTGATAAACTTCTCTCATCTCAACATCAGGATAAATTTCCTAGGGCATTTAAATTGAAGAGCTAGAAAACTGAAGGAGAGAGGCAATAATCAATTAGTTACACAATGGCATAGGCTTTTAGGTTGACAGGAACTGAGACACTGGGGGAGGGGATGGGGATTCATGAAGACCCACTGTCTGTCAGAGTTTGATTGCCATTACTATATGTAATCTGCTTGTTTCATAAAGCTACTTCTAGATATGAAATTAGGCTACACTTTTGTCATTTAACATCTTTCATGCATTTTCTTGCTCTGCATTACTTGTTTTCTGATGTGTATATTTTATCAAGGTACTATTATTTGTGTACTACAATAACTAGTTAATGCTGTTTTAGACTTGCTCAAAGGTATTAGAGGTTAACATAACTGCAGGTATATTCTGTATACGTGCTGTACATGAATATGTGTATGCTAACAAGTTACTGTAAGATATGGTGTCCTTCTATAGTTGGTTTTAGATGCTGTGCATGTAAATAGTACAAAGTTAACCTGATTCAAGACTTAATTTCCTGCAGAAAGAGGAATATTGCTAAAGAAAGCAGATTGAAAATAAATAGAATATATACTCTAAAAAATTTTATTATGAATCAATATTCTGAAAATTAATGTTCCCCATGTGGCTTCAGTATAGCATTAAAATGAGGATTGTTCCTAAGTGGAAAGGAAGGAAAATTTTAATGGCTCCTCCTGAAGTGAGGTTTTCCCATCACTCTACACTGGCCGGTTTTTGTGCAACACCACTGAATCACCTGTTGTGTGCTACATGATTGCATCATGACTATGGTGCTGTTCCTTCTGGAGGCAGGCATGATAAAGCCCATGGATGACTTCATAACATCAGTGTAGACAGTTCTCTTTAAATATCTGCTGTGGCAAGCACTTCCATGTATTTTATGTCCTGTGAGCCCAAAGTGTGGGCAGGCTTGCCCTTTGTTTGCTTAAGTAAAAAGTGTTCTCAAATATAAAAGGACCTGAGAAAAAATGATGTAATAATTTTGTAGCAAAGTATTGAGAACTAGTCACTCTACTCATCTGATCTGAAGGGTGTTTTCATATATTTGCTCAGTATGGCTTGTTTCCACCAAACTGATGGGTTTATCCTCTTCCTTAGGGTTGTATGCTCTCTGTGGAAAAACCTGGAAAGAACCATGCTCTTCTTTTTGATCTTGTAACTTGGGACTGTCTGCTACTAAAAGTGCAATGATAGCAAGAGGAAGGAGAAGAGAAAACATACTCCCTGTCTTCACATCCTCTTTTCCCTTACCTCCTTATGGTGCCAAACATTACAGGAGCAGATGCAACCTTAGGCTGTTCTACCTCTGCTTCCCTCTTTGTGTGTGTGTGTACACAAATACAGAGGCTTTACATTAACTTCTCATTCTGGAGATACGGCTGTTTGTGCTCTATGAGAGATAGTGCTGTGGGGTTTTAAGTTGTGGCGTTTTTTTTTTTTTAGGGAAACCCTTCTCAAAACAGTGTGTGAGAAGGGAGGATTACCTTTGCTTGCCACTGATGACTGCACTTTCCTCTCCAGCAGTCCAGCTTTCCTCAGGTTGTTCAGGCTGCTCTTCCACTTAAGAGTGGAAGTTGTTGTTAGTGCTCCTCAGAATCATTATAAGGTACAAGAACAAAATGAAATGTCTGTTACCTAAGAGTATTCATTAACCTGTTGAATGACCATTTGGCAGTTTTGTGGTTGGTTTTTTTGTTGTTGTTGTTTTGTGGTGTTTTGTTGTGGTTTTTTTATACATCTTGTTAATAAGGCTTTCAGCAAGCCAAAATGTTTTAATAAGGCTATTTCATCCACCTTTCCTCCCTGCTAATGAAACAAAAACCAAGCCATGATAGTATTTCTTCTGAGGGATACAATATAGAAGGTTAGGGCACTGTCATATAGGGTATATTAGGAGGCCTGAAAATTAAAATGGGAGCCTGGTACTAACAACACCTCATATGTAGTTTAGCTTTCAGTCCAGGTTTTTCTTCAGTTGGTCTGTGATGAACTTGGTAACAGAATTTTAAAGTCTTTTTGTCTCTGTCTTTCAGACACATGTCAAGTTCCAGGAACAAGCTCTGCTAACTTCACTTGCAGTGCCAGCACAAAGTCTTCACTTCCCAACTATCTGTATGTCTTTATCCTGGGGCAGCTGCTGCTGGGAGTTGGAGGAACTCCACTATATACTTTGGGGACAGCTTTTATTGATGACAGTGTCCCAAAACACAAGTCTTCCCTTTATATAGGTAACTTTTAAAACTATTTATAACACATTGTCTGGATAGATCAGACTGCAATGCCTTCCAGATGCTTTTATGAATTCCTCTTTTTAAATCAGTCTTGTCATTATTTACTTATGTGCATAAAGTGTTTCTGTATCAATTACTGTGCAAGTTAGGTATTAGTCTGCTGTAAGTGTCAAGTCTTTCCAATAGTTATTTTGCAGAGCATGGTAAGGCTACTTTGTGCACCTCTCCTGCTGTTTTTTCATGTCAATAACTGAAAGTGATTAAATGGTTAATGTAGTCTGCCTGTTATCAACAGAATAAGTTGTAGCAAAATTTGCTTTGTAGTGGTACAGGTGTTGAAGACTACCCTATATCAGGTCACTAGCCAGACCTTGCTGTATCCTTCAACAGTTTTATTTACTGATGTTCTGGCAGTAGGCAATCCCCTCAGTGCAGGGACACTCCTATGCATTATGTGATCAGTGCAGTTCTTCAGCCACATACAAATTTGGCACTTCAGAAGGAAATACTGGAAGTATCTTTCCTTAATTGAAAGCAAAAGGATTGCCTGGAATCATGGAGAATGTGTTTTACTGTGGAGCTGTTTAAAAGCTAAGAAATACTAATTCTTAACAGTGGTTTTTAATCTTTCCGGTCAGCAGTCTCTGGGTTACGTGCGTTTTTACTGCCAAGGTCATTGCAGTCTAAGTGTGTTTTCCATGGGCATGAAGATGTTTTGCTATTTTCCCCATTTTAGGTGTAAGCTGATAAAAGTATGTTAGCTATACTGGTAACTCTTAGGGGGAATTCAAAGCATCTTAGATTCATTGACTGTTTTCCAGACTAATTCAATATTTTAGGGGGCAAAATTGAAATCATCATCTGTTTGCATACAATTCTTGCTTAATTGTTTCAGGCAAGCCATTCCGTTTGATGCTAACAAATGGAATAGTTGCATATGTTAAATCTTAAATAACAAAGAGAGCTTTTATTTTTGCTGTTTCCTTATATTGAGAGAGGAGATTATGACACTTTTCTGAGGACAGTGAAATAAATACAGCAGAATTAGGGCTGTCTGCATTATTAGAGGGTCAAGAAGTGGCCTGAAAACTCAGGAGAATGATGTCAGTGTTCATACTTAAAACATAACAGACCAATACAATAAATTAATGCTTTATCCAATCTTCAGAAAAGTGCTGAGTTCTGAAGAACAGTGTATATTGCCTAATGTAAAAAAACTAGAACAAAAGTGAGTGGACAGGTAGCTACATTAAGCCTTAATTCTTTTTCTTGCTTTTATGCAATGTATTGAGGATTTTAAATATATTGTGTTGCTTTGCCTAATGTAACAAGGCTTGTGCAGGGCAGCAAAAAAACCCAACCAACCCCAGAACTTTCTCTTAGTGTCTGTAAATAGCTGCTAGCATCTTGGACTATAAGATTGCAACTCATAAGTTGGTAGTTTCTTTCTTTTCTGATACTGGGTGCATTTTCATGAGGACTGTGCTCTTGTTGAACTGAGGCTTCCACATCTAAAGCCAGTGAAAACTTAAGTAATTCCAAATAGTAATTTAAACTGAATGATCTGCTGGAGGAAATAGGCACCTTCTAAGCTAGGTTTGAAGTTCTGTAGGATGAATATGGACTTAACTCAGAAAGATCTTATGGGCATGTCATTATTTCCAATATGCAGGAAAACCTGCAATATGTCAACTCAGTATTTGTTTTGACTTACTGATACTTCAGTGTCCCCTTCTGTGTCCCTTGCCCATCCTGCACTGCTCCAAATGCTCCCCTCATTCTTTCTTGCTGTCTTAACAGAGCCAAATAATACTAAATACTCAGGATCCAGGCACTTTGGAAACAAATGAGAAATCCAAATTCTTCAACCTGGGCAAAAGCATAGAATATCAGCAGTAAGGATGCATGTCTTGCCAATTAGACAGATCTAGTTACTATCAGTTGCAAGCCTTAATCTGCAGAGACAGAGTTCCTGCCAGCAGTGCTAAAGTGCCATAGAAATCTGGATGGTAGGCCAGGGAGACTATTGTGACATCGAGAAGATCTTGTCCTAAGGCCAAAAAACTGGATAGACCTAAGAGAGCTCTTTAGTAGGATATGATTACACCTATAACTTTTTGTTAGGGGTTGTGTGTTTCTTTGTGTGTGGGGTTTTTGGGCTTTTTTTTTTTGTTTAAAAAATGTCAGGGGCTTTTAAAAGCCCTGGCTTTATATTTTAAGGATCATATCAAGAAATTGAAGCGCATATGATTGAGTTCTAAATGAACTCAAGTGGCAGATATTACTCCAGTCAAAAGGTTTAATGGAACCCTGGCCTCTGGTCTTGGCAGATCTGAAAACCATCTTAAGACTCAAAATAAAAATATAAATAAGTAGGTTCTTAAAGATTGTGGGCATGCACTATTAAAAACTGATGCTCATAACAACCTCACATAAGAAACTTTTACATAAGCTAGCTTGTGATTGTAGGCGCAAGATACACAAAATAATAATGCATAAAGATGCTGTCAGTGAAGTGTCTTTTGCTGAACTTCTGAGTTGCAGCTTTTAAGAGCTTCACATTTTCCTGTTGAGGGACAAGTATGAATTTTGTCTTCTACATGTAGTTGAAGTAATGACAGTGAAAGAACAGGCTGAATTACAGAAAGCATTTGGTCTGTAGTTGATTTAGGAATTTTTTTTGAAAGAAAGCTTTAAAAATGTATGGTGAACTTGATGTATTTTCTCTTCTAGGAATTGGCTATGCCATGTCACTGCTGGGTCCTGCTATTGGCTATGTCTTAGGAGGGCAGCTACTTAATGTTTATATTGATATCCAGATCCCAGAAAGGCAAGATATAGCAGTCTTTTGCTTTCTATTTTCTTTTTCTAATAATTCTTATTAAAAATCTTCAGTGTTCTTCCATATGAGGAGGAGAAAGAGTTTTTGTCTGGAAAATACTGTATTTTCTACAGCTGCTTTAACTTGGTAACAAGTTGTATTCACAAGGGCTTCTAGCAAGTGAGTTACTTCTCACAGTGAATAGTCACTCCATTGTGTGTGAAAGTTTCTCTGTAGTGCAAATACTTAGTTCTAGCATTTTGAGATATTGGCTATTTTAAAGCTGATTAACATAAAATGCTTTGTCTTTTGATTAGTCACCCATTTAGGGTTCAATTGCAACTATTGATTTCTTGTGCAACAAATTTCCCTAAGGTAGGATGTGAGGGGTAGGATACTGCTTCTTACCTCCTGTGGAAGAGCTTGCTAGAAAATCTACCAGTTGAATAACAGTCCACTATTCAAAAAATAATGTTATAAATTGTACTACTGTCCAAACCAACAACTTAATTTACACTTTTATTTCCTGTGTTTTAGGGACTTTGGATCAATGCAATGGCATTCTGAACTTCTGTATTGGCTTTCATATAACTTATTGATTATGAAGATTTTTCTCTAAAAACAGCTTTGTCAGTATCTTTATAATGCTACAGGATGTTGAAATCAGGGCCAAATAGTGGCCTTTAAATCAGAATGAATTTCACTAATGAGTTGAAAGCTATGTTTGGTAGAATGCAATATTACAATAGAGCTGATGAATGTGCTTTAAACAAGCAAATGATAAATTTAATACATGTAGAAAACAAGCAAATGACAATATTCAAAGACTTTCTGTTAAATCAGTATTAAAAAAAAAAAAACAACCTGACATGTGAAACTGCTGATTTGAATTTATGAATGGTAAACCTGCTTTTTCCAAATTATTCTTCCAGTACAAAGATAGATCAAGATGACCCACGTTGGCTTGGAGCATGGTGGATAGCATTTCTTGCATGCTTTTTTGCAGTTTGGCTCCTTATAATACCATTTACATGCTTTCCGAAACAACTACCAGGTAAATGTTTAACAATAATGGGCTACTTTGGAAGAGACATTTGTTTATACTTAAGGGGGTTGTAGACTGCTGGACTGAGTGTGTGATTTGTCTTTGATTCTGTTTGTCAGTTAACTGTCTTTGGCTAAAACCTGATGACAAATACTTTGTTTCCAATATGCAGCCTTTAAAACAAGGTGAATGGGCTAGAGGATTGATCTTGAGTACATAATGATGTACAGTAGGACTGGAAACAGGTAGGCATAGAAACTGATTGTCAAAGTTTGGAAGATGCTTGCAGCTAAGCACCTGGGAGTGTATTTAAAGCTGCTATGTTACCCTCCAAGAATCATAAGGAAATTCCATTAACTCATGCATTGTTGTCTTTGACTCTATTGCTTTGTTGTTCTGAGTGGAATAATAAAGCATGAATCAAAGTATCCCAAAGCAGTCTTCTAATAGTTTTAATATAATTTCTGTTCAGGCAGATACTATCTAGGAGTCCCTTGGAAGAGAGTCTAAAGGAATTTACTATGCTTATGTGGAAAGAGAAATGATGGAGGAAAAGGAACAATGAAGTAGGGAACTGGGGAGAATGTGAGGATGATTTAAAAAAAAAAAATAGGAAATTGAATGGGCTTCAGGACAGTCTGAAATTCTTAGGATATCCTTGATAATATCTTCTTACAGCCAAGGCCTTCCAATGGAAGCGTGATGCTTTCAGCCAAATTCTTCTTTTCACAGCAATACCTTATTGATCTTTTTAGGGATCCGTACCAATAAAATATTCTAGACAACTTACAATGTCTGAGCTAGTTTTCCCAAGGAAAGGAAACACACACTTTGATGCTTTTTCTGACTTTAAGTCTAAGAGCACAGGTATTCAGTATTTCCATTGTCAATAAATATGCCCATTTATAGGAACAGCAAAAATACAGGCTGAAAAAATCTCTGAAACTCATAATGATGGAAGTGAGGTGCTTGTTGAGACCAAGAATATTGGAAAAAGTTTTAAAGACTTTCCCGTGGCTCTTCTGGTAAGAAAATCTTGAATTTGCTAAAACTGATGTATTCTGAGAAATTGAATTCTTTTTCAGGTAATACATAAGTGTTTAGAAAGGCAATTGCTTCTTTATCATGTTGTGATAGGGAAGTCTCCAGTGCTACTGATAATTTAATACATGTTCATTTTGTTGATGCTTAAGATTGTTAAAGGAAGAAAAGCATATTAGTGAAGTTCCGTATGAGAGTATTTGCTTAAAAATACAGTGACTTCTAGTTTATATTGTACTACAATGAAATAATTTCGTGAGTGTTATGCTAATTTCCCCCCATAGATACTGTTGAAGAATCCAGTGCTTATGAGTCTAATAATAGCCAGTTCTTCAGAAGCTTTAGTTGCCACTGGCTTTGCCACATTTCTACCAAAGTTTATAGAAAATCAGTTTGGAAAGACATCAAGTTTTTCAGCAACTCTTGGAGGTAATGTGGCTTTTCATTTTTAAATCTTAAATATATTGTGCTGGACATGTCAACATTATAGGTGGAAGCTTATATAGGCATCTTGTATTTGAGATATTTGTGAATATACTTACATGAAATGCAGTTTTCACAGCAGAAATAGTCTTTTTATATTATTCTTGCCTGCCCTATGAAAACCTTAGTACTTAAATCATTATGGGTGCAAATCTACTCGTAGTCTGTAGGTTCAGAAGACTTGATACTCATATTCAAGGTAGAATGAGAATTCTGTGTGCTGCTGAAATTGTAATTTATTCCTTTCTTGTTCTTGGTGAAAAATATTTAATTCTTCATTTAAAATTGGCTGAAGGAGCATTAAGCCTTAGGACCTACTAAAGGAAGCAACATGAAGGGCAGCTGGAAAAAAACAGCAGTGCTTACTGCAAGGGGTTGACTTGGCCCTTCCCTTCTACAATTCCACCATAACGTTATAGTGAGCTTGCAATAAAATGACTAATAAGGATATGTTATGAAACTATTGTGTAACTGCTTCTCTAGTTGGCTTACTGTCACTAATACACAGAAGTAATAGGTAGAACAGGGGGAGGCTAAGAAAAGCTGAGTATTGGAGCAATAAATAGAAAAATCTGATGGAAGAGCGGCACTAGGTAGGGTCACATGATTAACTCTGACACAATTACTTCTGAAGAACAGCAACTAGGTCAAGGCAGGTAGGCCAACAGATGCTTGCAATATGGCAGACTTTGTATTTCTGGAACATGTCTTGCTAAATTACTTCAGCTGTATAGTGCTGCAATATAACCATATGCTAGTTGAAGTGCTCTTTCTCCAACAGAAATACCTTTGGGAGAGACTTTCTCAATGACTTACTCCTTTGGGTAATACCAGATAGTACTATCACTACTCAGACATTGTTGCTTCAAAACAAAGCATTTGCAAGTTTTACATAGAAATACATTGGAATATATGCTCAGTTGTTGAACAGTAATCAGCAGTGAAGTAGAAAACTGAATGTTCCTTTTTTGTCTGTAGACTTTGTCTGAATTTCTTTTAATTTGAGTTGGAAAATATTGATAGTGTTAATCAAATCTACAGCTTTGAAGAAATGCCTACGCTAACGTTGAAAGTTAGCTGTACTTAAACTAATGTTGAGCTAGCTAATCTAAGTGTTGCCAATGTCCATGTTAACTATTTAAACTACCTTTGACTATGGCCGTCCGTGGCCTGTGCAGTTCTGCCCCTGTACATGAACTGTCTTTAAAATTAGCTGTCTTGGGTCAGTGCAAGTTACACTGATTTCTGTGTTGTATTGTAGATTAGCGATATAAAAATGCTCAGTTATGTTTCTGGAGTCCTAATAGTGCAGAGAGGATACAACATTATGGACTCTATAGACCATGACAGCAAAAGTGACCCACTGATCTAGACTTTTAAAAATCTTTCTGTAGATACCTTATTGTATCTTGTACTGTCTCTTGTATAATAGTGCTTATGTTCTGTTATTAAAAAGTTCATAACACAAATGTATAACAAAGAACATGGACATGTGGAAAAAACATGGAAGCAATGAAAGAGCATTTTCTATTTTCAGGAAGTGGCCTACTGGTGTTCAGAGATTCCTGCCTAGTACGTAGTACTCTTAAGTAATCTGGCTTTGCTGTGTTGAACTTGGGTTTTGGACAAGTATAAATTACCATGTCAAATTTAACTTCTGCAAAGGCTAAAGAGATTGTAAGGGTAGAATAAATTACTCATGCTAACAGATTCTGGTAGGATGTTTTGAAAATGACATCACATGGACTGCATCTTAAGATACAGGTAACTGTTGTGATTTTTTTTTTCCTTAACATTAAATTGCACTCTAAATTGCTTCACTAATTATATCTTGCATTTTTGTGTAATTGCTGGTGTCTTGTTTTCCTCTAGGGCTTGTATTAATTCCAGCAGCAGCACTAGGCCAAATCATAAGTGGCATCTTGGTTTCCAAGTGCAAAATGGATTGCAAAAGCATAATCAAGTTCATGATAGGCACTTGTTCAGTGGCCCTAATATTAAACACAGTGTTTTTATTTGCTAAATGTGGGAACGAACCTTTCGCAGGTGTCTCTGAAACATATAATGGGTAAATATATTTTAATGCACTCTTGGGTTTGGTGTTAATGTTTAAAATAAGTAAGCTACGTCACAGAATACAAAACCTTTAAAAATGTCATATTTTGCCTTGATGTGTGAAACTGAAATGTTTTATGGAACTCTAAAACCCTGTTCTTGGAATCTTTATGTAATAGACGATTAAGAAAATGTAATGATACATTGCCTGCAAAATGTTCTGAGCAGCCTGGTCCTGTTCAACAAAAAATTCCTAGCTGTAGGTGTAGTAGCCATAGTATTGACTACACCTAATTTTGTATCTCTGTAAAAGTAGTGTGTCTTTTGAATCTTGTTTTATTAACCAACTCTTGACAATCTAGGCAGTTTGTTCCTGGAGGGAGTCTGCTGTGTGCAACAATTTTATGAGACACCACTGAGGTGAACTACAACTTAAACTGCAAATTTTTTCTCTAGAAAAATGAAGCCATTATTATAGCATCAGGTTCTAGCACATCTAGCCTCCATTTACAAAGGAGGCTTTAATTTTTTCCTGGTAAATTGGCTGATAGAGGTAGGAATTTAATGCAAAGAGAGTGTAGCTCAGTGACCCAATTTGAATAATAAAATGGGTGGAGTAACATGGTTAACCGGAACATAATTCAAATTATATTTGGCTAACATGTATAAGAAAGGCTTCTCCAAACAATATGTACTTTTCTTTCCCTTAAACAACACAATTCCCGTGCCTAATGAGAATGCAGTCTATCACTCATTTTTAGATATTTGTAGTACTTGTATTAGAAATTCTGTGATGAATGTTCTTCCTGTTGCTGTAAAAAAGCTTACTCTGGAAACCAATATGGCAGCAGGAAGAAAGTCAGAAAAGTGAAAATAAAAATGAGGCAAGATTAAATATGTGCAAGGATAAGCATTCTTTAGAGAATGGATTTCTAGGTCCACTTTTAAAACTTCAGCATTGAACGTATGTGATCAAATCACCACTGTAGGCACTATGTTGTATAAAATGCCCAGTCATGCCTTATTAAGAAATTAACTTTAAGATTATAATGTTTCAATTCTCATAGTTTTAAATAGTACACATCTCTGTAGCATGAGCATTGTTTAAAAGCAGGAGGAAGGCAGCTAGCTGTGCCAAAACAGTGCTTTCAAGTGGTTGGTTACTCTAGCATGAATTGACAGAGCCAGAGGCAACTCCAGCTGTTTGAGGGTCTGCCAAAGAGCCAGATGCTGCTGTGCAGAGTAACTGTAGGAGGCTGGTAGCTAGGGACTGCTAGCTGCCATTTGAAAAAATCATAAGCATGAGCAGTGTGCTGTGCAACTGGGTGAATAACTTACCAATAATTTTTTGTTGTGTTCCCTAGCCCCCCACTTTAGAAAAGGGTTAGGTGCTACTATCTTGTACAAAAGCAGAGTCTGTAAGTTATGCTCCAATGCATAAAAAGGCATCTGAATCTAAACAGTTTGGGGAAGACTATCTTTGCACTTCACTGACACAATAGCATGAAGTGCACCATGAAAATGCAGAAGATAGGTTGGGAAAGAAATTGGTTTTGTAGCCTCTAATGCACATGCAGGTTGGTAATACTTCTAGGAAAAAATGATAAACATCTAATCAACAGTTAGGCTTATATGGTTTCTTCACTTGGTATTTGCCATGCTTTTTGACTGTCTTAGAATGAGCATACAACAAATAGAAGAACGCAGGAAAATCACATCTTACTTATGGAGGCAACTAAATGCAAAAATATCAGAATGTGAAAGCTGCTAATTTTCCTAGGTCCTTTAAGGGTATCATTGACATAAACATAACTGACAAATATTAGAAAATTTTCCCTAAAATGCAAAAGAGTGACATGAAGGACTAAACAGATATTTTTCAGGCCTCATTTAGGTAAATGTGAAAACAGTGAAATAGATAACCCTAGGTGAACGGAACAGAAATTCAGAGGGCTTGGAGGCAGTACTGATTGAAGACAGTCAGGCTTCCAGTTCTCTAACAGACTTAACCATTCATTTGTATTTCCTTTTCCAGAAGGCTTACAAAATGAATAAACCAAATTTCATACACTTGGTGACTGGGAAAGAAAAAATAAATTCTTAAAGCCCAAGTTACGACTCATTCTGCTTCTATCCTTACAACTTGCTTTATCAAATGACAGTATATTCAAAGGCCAATGTTGACATTTAACACTTAAACCATGGCTTTGCTTCAGTGTCTGAAAAAAATGCTAGCTGTAAGATTACTGTGGACACCTCAGAACTGGAAACTAGAATGCAGAATTTGGTTGTGAAAAGTTTCTGGTTACATACTGAGCAAAAGAATCTGTATGTAGCAATTGAATACTGAAGAGGTTGTATAGAAAATAGTATATGCAGCTACCCATATTTCTATACCAGGTCCTATGATAATGAGCAGCTGACAAAAGGTACAGCTGAATTGATTTTCATCCTAAGTTAAATACAATTAACTTGTATTTAATAGTTTTGTGTAACTTCAGCAGTTATGTAGTTTAACTGTTGCTGAAGCCCTCTTATCTACAGTAATTTGGAGTTAACCAATCCTGAAATAACTCTCTCCACTCAGTATCCATTATAAAAAAATGGTTCAATTTTATGTAATTAACTGTTACATGTTGGACTGTAGTTTGTTGGACATGTTACCTGCATCAGAATAATTAGTGGCACTAATATAGTGCCAGTTCTGAAACTACTTTCCATGAAGGAGTAAGCAACTAAAATATGTAGTAGTAGCTTTAACAAATTTATAAGTTCGTGGAAGAAGAGCCAAGTGTCTGAATCCTGCTTGTGCTGTTGAGCAAATGCTTCTGAAAGAATAAATTATGAGAATGCTATGACAGTTGAATTTGGAAATTGATGCAGATTCATTTTTTGTGGAGATTTTTAAGAAATCCTTCATGGCAAGCATTCTCTTTCTGTTGAAAAATACCCTGGAGGTGGGTGGGGTGGGGAAGGCTTTTGGAAGCTTAGTACCAGAACCACACGAGTACAGGATCACTTTTGAGACCATTTATTAATGAACAAAGTATACTGTCTATAGTAACAGTTTATTACTAAATTAGCCTATAAACAGAACTAAAGTGGTTTACTTTGTCTAGTAAACAGTTCAAATAATTGTTTTTGCCAAATTCTTTTGTCCAGTATTTTCTTGAAATCTTGAAGTTATAAAAATGCAGTGACTATTTCTCTAGTTATGTTCATTCCCACATGGCTCTGGGTCTCCTTGTTTTGCTTTGCTGTGAAAGAATATCTAACCTACAGAGCTTTTAAAGACCATTTAATGGCCTCGTCTGCTAGGCTTCTTTAGAAAAGTGATGTTAGAACAAGAAGTTCCATGTCATGAGAACCTATGTACACTAAAGTGTATTCTTCTGTATTTTAGTATTTTTCACTGACCATGCATAACTAAAGGTTTGGTCCCTCTTTGTGGGTCAGGGAAGAGAGACGTTATCTGCACATATAAACAGGACAAATGTTGCCACTGAATTGATTAAATACTTCTAGGCTTGACATGCCTCATAGGCTAACAAGGCACTGTATGAAAAAACCTGTCATTAGTGAATTTGCTTATGGTGCACTGTAGTGCTTTAAGCCAGAGCAAACTAACTTCGATTCCTCTATGTATGAACAATGAACTAATGTAACCTAGTAGGGTTCAACTGTATTACAACCAAATGAGGTATATAGGTAGTTATGATGTCCTTAATATTCCATGTGCAGTTTGAATTCTATGTAAGTAATGAGCTTAATTCCTAGATAAATGATTTCTCCTCTTAGTGTTTGTGACCATCTTAAATTTTCTTGAAGAAACCTGCCTTTTAGGTAATGAATCTGGAACTTTCAGTTTACAGTACAGTATTTAATCTACTGGCAGTATCAGTATCCTGGTTTCAGCTGGCTGAACTCTTAACCATTGAAGCTTCTTTACTTATTAATGCACTACTATTAGAAAAATCAAAGGGTGTTTTTATTCTTTGCATGTATATCTTAAGAAGGCCCCCCCAGATCCCAAACTGATTTTTCATACTAATAATATAGTGGGATTACTTCAAATACAACCATACTATGGCCTATACTGGAAGTAAATGCCTAAATTGAGAGTAGTTGTAGTAAGCAAGTGTTAAATTAAACTCTACTCTTCATTAGTTATTCCCTAAGCAGCTAGAGAAAATCTTCAAGGTCCTTTTTGGTGTGATAAGACTTTGTTTGTATGTCATGGCACTCTGCATTTAGCACATGCAGTCATCTTGGTGCTGGAACAATCTAGATGTCTGCATAGCAGTGTTAAAAATAGTAAAAGTGCAGTGGGTTTGCAACTGGACTTGAATCCAAAAGAGGGAAAAAAGCTTGGAATATGATCAGTAGAATAAACAACGCCTAATACTGTTTTAAATTTTGTTGCATTTTTTCTTAAAACTGTAAATTGAACAAATTCAAATGTGTATGGGGGAGGAAGGAGATGGTATAAAATAAGAATTGGGTTGAGACACATAATTTTGTCATCTGTTTTGTGAATGGAAATTGGAGGAATAATCTATGGAAGAAATAATAGCAGAAAAATAACTATGTACAGAATAAATGGGAATTCCCTCTAGAGTTTTAACTGCTAGGAACATGGCTTATTTTTAAACAAGTGAATAAATCACCTGAATTGAGTATTTTGAGATTTATCATCTTATAAATACTGCATTACTTATTTACATATCTGCTGTTTTTAAATTACTTTATTAAAAGCCTATTAACTTTACCTTTCAGAACAGGCACATTATATAACTTAACAGCACCATGCAATGCTAACTGCAGATGTTTGCGCTCTATATACTACCCAGTTTGCGGCAGAGATGAAGTCCAGTACTTTTCTCCCTGTTTCGCAGGATGTGCATCACATCTTTTTAACAACATGAAAAAGGTACTTTATGCTGCAAAGATAGCTGTCATGGTCTGTTCTGGTTTCCTGCAGAATGCATTCTATATTGAAAACATTTTTCCCTTAGTATGACTGGAAATCACAGAATTTCTGAGTCTAAGTGGTAGTTACTACAAGAAAAATTGGTGTGGATTGGAAACATGTGTCTAAGTAGCATGAATGTTGGTATGTGTCAGAGTCCAATACTCTGACCAGGTGCTTTTAGATATTCCACTTGTGGAGGGTGTAATGTTTAATACAAATTTACTTACTTCATGACAGTTGATGTTACACAGGATTTCTGACTTAGCAGAGTGATAGAAACTATACTGAAAACACAACACAAATTTAAGTTACACTTGGCAAAATATAGCAACTGCAATACACAGTTCAGTCACAATACCGGTGTGATTCCCATTACTGGTCTCTATAATATGCTCACCATCACAGTGCTGGGCCTCCCCAGTTGTTGGGAAAGTGTACGTGGGTTTAAGGCAGCTCAAGTCCATTGCTGTCTTTGAAATTCTTCTGCTAGTTATCTGGCTTTTTATAGTCAGTTGGGCTGAGCCACACTCCCCCCATGCTGGTCTGGCTAACTTAGGGAGAATTTCACACTCCATTAATGAACTCAGGGAGAAACATTTACACCACCAGTTGATCCACTCAACTGACATAGCTGCTTCTTTTCTGCATGGTTTTCTTTGCAACAGCTGTGGTCACTCACAGCCTGCATTGTTCTGTGAGCTTCATGGGCACATCACCCTTCTCCATGTCTTCTGAGCCTTCTTCCATTGTAGGTGTTTATTGGTCAGTCACAGTGTGTTTCTCACTTGTGCGGTGTCATGTTGCAAATGTTACTTCTACTAAACGTTCTAATGCTGAAAATACATTAAACCTGAATGTGCTTTAAATAGAATTGATAATCAGAAAAGTAGAAATCGGCAAGTGACTTGACATTAAACTGCAGTTCTTACCTAGAACTTTAAGCACAATGTAATGTTTGTTGTATGCGTGGGAACCTGCTTCTGTGAGTTTCCAAACCTGGAAATGTCAGTTGCCCCTAATGTAGGAATGGTAAGCCATGAAAGTGGCTGGTTTTATTATCAAGCCTTACCAGTACTGAGACTTTCTGTGCTTGTCTCTACTAGTACAACAAACTCTTGAGCAGGGATATAGGAGGAGTGTAGCAAGATCCTTAAAGGTAGGCAAGCTGAACCAGGGGGTGCCTCTGGGGACTTTTTATATCAGAATAAGACAATGGTAAATGAGAGGAGGTATTATCTAGAAGAAAATGTAGGAGACTGACTACTTCTTGCTGTGAAAACTTCACACTTCACTGACTTTTTTTTTTCTTTGAAAACAAACTTGGGTGGATTTAAATAAAGAGCATAAAACTATTCCATTTGTTCACCTGCTTATAAAAGCAGTCCAACATTGCTTCTGTTCTTTCCTACTTAAGTCTCACCTCTCTTCCTGTCAAGTACAGCCCAGTGTAAAAACCAGCCTGTTTATAGCCAAGGCTTTCAAGCTAAGTGATCTGGGACTTGCCAACATCTCTGAAGAACATGAACTGTTGTGGTTTCCAGTTTGTTCTGCTACTGTTGTAACTGGATATGTTTTATCTAAGCTTGAAGAATAAGGCTTGAGGAAATAGTGGCAGAAGTAGATGTAAATCTAAAGAATGAACCCACTTCAAATAACAGTTTCTAGTAGTCAAGACAAAGTTCTTTGGAGTATAGCTTTTGAATTGTACAGACATAATCAGCAGTTTTTGATTAATAAACTAGGTAACAGTTAACATTAGCTTATTTCAGTATTGAAAAATTACTTTTGAGAACTATGTAAGATATCTTCTGTTCTAAGGGAACTGCAGCTTTTGGCAACCTACTGTTCAGGAGTTACACTTTGCAGATGAAACCAGTCTCATATGGGGAAAGAGAAAAGGGACATTCCCACCCTTCATCCAACCTTTGACACCCTCCATGGTGTTTATAATGTTTTCAAAGAGGTGATTTGTTTTTATATCTACATCTATATATAATTTTCAAAATTTTGAAAATATATCAATATAAAAAAATCTTGTTTTGAACACTAACTTGCCTGTTCTTAATTTTATACAATAACTGGTGTTATCTTCACTGATCTGTAGTAAGATTTCAGTACAAAAGTTAGCATTTCAAGGCTTACTCTGTCAATGTTTTTGTATAATATTATGTACTGCATATGGTCATGCCTCTAAAATCTTCTTTAGTTTTAAGTTTTTTATGCTTGTACCTAAAAACTTGCTCTGCATGAAATGGAGACTATCACTGTCTTTTTAGGTCACAACACCAAAAATAACTTTTGCTCACATGAGTTGGATCAGTCAAGTTCTGCTGAACCAATTTTAAAAATGAGGGTTACAGTGTCATATCATCATCAGGAAATGGACTGTTTCCCGTACTGTAAAGTCAGGGTTTATTCTTGTATTCAGTGTGATGCAGAACCAATGATACCATATTAGTATCACTTAGTGTAATTCTTGGAGCTAAATTTTGTTTTATAAATTTTTCGTAGACGTACCACAACTGTTCCTGTATTGGGAAACCAGAAAGAGAAAATGGTTCAGAAGACTTTCTCTATGAAGCTGTCCCTGGGAAATGTCCAACACAATGCAAATTTTTACCTTTATTCCTGACCTTCTTCTTTTTTGCTGTTGTTTTTACGTTTATGGCTGTTACTCCAACAACTGTGGCCATTCTCAGGTATGTTTTTTGGGCTGAGGAGTAGGTAGCATTCCTGTGAAAACTCAGATAAATGAAGTAATCTAATTTGTTTTGCTTTCAAATGTGGACTTAAACCAATGTGCAAAGGATTTCCTGTTGTAGTACTTTGCGTAGTAAACAGGCAGTACTTGAGCGCCTTGTGCTTCATATCACTGTTCACTACCTCTGTAATTACAGTTGGTTAGTAGATACTGTTTGAATCTATTAAAAAAAAAAAAAAACAACACAACCTTTCCTACCTGTAGCAAAATCCCTCTTTTATGGGAGCGCTCCTGACTGTTTTAGTCAAAGCAAAAAGGAATAAATGTGCCAGATGCTTGGATGAAAAAAATATTCAACTAGCCTGGTATCGGTAATGTCAGGATTTCAAGTTGTACCAATAAAAGAACAAAATAGCAATCAGTCTCATATTCTCAGCCTTTGATTCCTGTCTCAGTTCAGAATTCTGACTTGCAAAATTGTAGACTGCCAAGAGCTGTAGACCACCTTTCATATGATATTGATGTTGTATGTTAACCAGTGGTTTGACTGTCTTTCAAATTGCTGAGACTCATATGCATGAAAGCTAGATACATTTTTTTCTTTAGTATGTCATCCTCATTCTGAAAGTAGACCTGTTTCACTGTATGTTGAAATCTGACTTGTACCTGTAATACTTCTAGAGGGGAAAAACATACACTATACACATGATGCTTTGGGATGATGTGGTTAGATGCTCTTTTTCCAACTTTCTAGGCAGGGGGTTGGGGAGCGGAGTGATACGCTGCTGCAGTGCTTTGCAGTAGCCTCCTGTTCAGGGTTTGTGTAAACCTGGAATTAACAGCTTGTCATATTAGTGTGAGGGCAGAATAATGTGAAGTGCTGCATTATCCTCAAAACTGAGCTGATGTAGTTTTGTTTAGATTAAGCAATAACGTTAGGAATTTTGAATCCTTGTACACTTCAACTGAAATGGTGAAACAGTTTTTATGGAAGAGAGGACCGTAGAGCAGTTTAAATGTGCAAAAACCTAATTTAAATAGCTAAATGTGAGGTAAGTTACTACAGTATATTCTGATATCTTTTCAGTGGGCCTATTATTTGCAACTTCAAGTGTAAACCCACGTGTTCGTGACAGTGTTCTAGTGCTAGAAATAACCACCCATACTATGCAAAAGTCATTCTCTTTCTTCTACTTGCCTTTATGGGTAGGGGGATCCTAACAGTGACTGCTGATAACTGCTCATCTTGGATGTTTTTCTATGGCTAATCCTCATACATACTCCAGAATGAGGGAATAACTCCTGAATATTTAAATACTGTCTTTTGTAGCACTGACAGTGCTTCAAAGATACAGTTTATTAAAGAAAACAATGCTGAAACTAAATTGTATAAATTAAATAAGTTAGATTGTGTTTAATCTTTATGGTAGTATCTTTAAGACACTGTCAGGATAACTTTTTTTTTGCTGGAGAAATAGCTGAAAGAAATGGGTAGGAGGTAAGGAAGTAAATTCTGCTAGTTATGAAATCAATATATTGATTTGTATAGCATAGGCCAGAACTGATTAATTGTAAGGTCAGGTGACTATATGTAAAGGTTATGGGAAATACAACACCTTGTGCTGTGCTGAAGCCTAGTCTCAAATCATGTACTGCTTCTTTAGGAAGAGTAGCTCAGGATTGCATCCTAGCACTGTCCTTAAATCCTTTGTTGTTCTGTGGAAAAAATGTTCAACAGTATATCAGTGTGCTGCTGGTGAGCTAGCTTTTTATTTATACTGTTTTGTTAAACTAGTTCAATCTAAAATTCCTTGATGAGCTGTTGGAGTTGCTTCTATCTTTTGTCAAAACACCTCTTGAAGTTGTTTGATTAGTTGTTTTGGACACTGGGTTTCTAAAACCCTCTGCAATTAACAGGTTAAAGGAGTATATTAAGACAAAGCATATTCACTGAGGGGCAAAGCAGAGAAATGGAACAGTTAAAACTTGTTCACCAAGTCTTAAAACTGCAAATCTTGTTTACAGGTGTGTCCCAGATAAACAGCGCTCATTTGCTCTTGGAGTACAGTCAGTGTTTCTACGACTACTGGGTATGACTTTCTTACTGAAACATTTGCCTCTGAATAATCTACTTATTTGGTGTTTTTCTAGACTTAAAAATAATGCATTAAGAAGCTTTCAGAGGAGCTTGAAGCAGCCTGTCATTGGCTTATAGAGTACACTTGTTATAAGGCAGATGTGATCTGGATTAAAATTCCTCTTCAAATAGAGCATGCGTGCTCATTTTAGCCTTTCTTGTTCTTATTGGCATGAACAAAATACAGGTAACTCATTCTTTCAGCGAAAGGCACCTGCTGTCTCTTCCCCCAGGAGGAGGCCTGTTCTGAAAGTTGAGATAAGAAAAAGTGATGTAATAGAAAACAGTTTCATGTAGTTGACATCTCAAGTTCCCGAAGTTAAAAGAAAGTGACAGTGTCTCATACAGTTGTATCCTTATTGGCCATGCCAGTATATTTTAGAATGGATAGGTGGAGTCTTCCCTCTTCTCCCTTCCCTTTCAATTCCTTTGACTAACTTCAGCCTTTATTGAAATTGTAGACACGTGTACATAAATAATTACTGAGTTTTTATGTGGGAAATGTATTAGTTAAATTCTAAATCTAAGCATCTCCGGGATCTCAGTGAGACAGGTGAATCACCTTAAATATAAAGCTAAACATAAGTATTCTCTGCACCACTCAGTTGAATTTTCCTAGGTACATTTTAAACTCTTGTTTTTGTCTTATACGCTTTTTAAATGGCATATATAATTCAAGACTGGGTTAAGGCAGTTACTGATTAGACTTTTATGTCAATATTTAGTACTGCAGCCATTCCCTGCCATTTGAGATAAAATATCTAACAGTGTGAGTTCTGGTTTGCTGTACCTATTGAAACTCCAATTAATCTAAGTCATTCTACCAATAAAGCATAACAAGAGTAAACATCCTCACAAGTAGAAATTAACTGGAAGGTAGTGCTAAGTATTGTACGAGGACTTCCCTGTTTCATTTTACTTTCAGGTATCTATGGCAGAGTCTTAACTCTTGACTTCACTGTGCAGCAGAGGATAGGAGAACTTTTTGCACTGCCTGTACTGACTGTGTCTGAAGAAGGCAACAACCAACAGCATTATTACCAGCAAGATATTTATGCTGTAGACTTGAGGAATCACACAGGGGTCCTAGACAGAAGAGCCGTAGTGAGGACATAGCTGCTTATTAGCTCAAGAACAGTTGAGGCCTTGAGTAGTTAGGTAGACATGCAGTGATGTACCTGGAGTGTTAATTACAAAATTGGCTGTACCTGGATGCAAACCCCTTGCGCTTTATAAAGCACTGCTGTAACAAAGATCACACAAATCTAACAAATTCTACACAGCAATAATTTTAAACATTACATTAAACATTACTCATTTTTCCTAGAAGCTTAGCTACATCTGAGAGATGGAAAAAATGTATCATTTAACTTATTAATATAATATTCTAGTTCTCTGCATTTGGAACAGGTTAGTGTATATGATCTGAGGAAAGGGACTTCTTTTCCTTCAGTTAAAATCCTGCTTCCTTGATTAGCTGTTTTTCCCCCTATTTTTAATCACATTTTTCTTCTCCAGTGAAAACCAATGAACTTACAAGCAGCTCAAGTCTTTGAAAAAACTTCTTGCTTGATAAAGTGAGAGCTGTATAAAGAATTAACTGATACTCTAGATACTCTATGCAGCCTACCTGTTAACTGAAAGCAATAGAAGAGGCACACGTGCTATGTAATATGAGCCCTATGACTTTGATTAAAATGTTATGTTTAATGTGTGGCTCTCCCATTTTATCTTCCCCACCAGCCTGGCATTTTACTGTATGCATTAAGAATGGGTAAGACTATTCCAAGTAACTCAAATGTTCTGACATGTTTCTCTACTTTTTAGGTACTATTCCTGGACCAATTTTGTTTGGTGTTGCTATAGACAACAGTTGTACTCTGTGGGATATTAATGAATGTAAAACGAAAGGAGCCTGTTGGGTTTATGACAATGAAAGAATGGCTTATCTACTGATGGGCATAAGTAAGTGGCTTTGTCATATTAAGTACATGTACAAGGTAATAGATATACTGACCTTGACTGCTAGATGGGAATTATTTTAAAATAGAACCTTAACTTTTATTTTTTAGCAGCAGTGTTTTTTTTTTAAAAAAAAAAAATTTTTCATAAATAATACAAATATGGTCTTGCTCCTTCCATGATATTTTGTTTAAGTGGCTCTTAAAAATGACCTAGAAACTTTTTTTAATAAGAGCAAAACTATTTTGTGTTATTGTTCAGTCTTTCTTCATTGTCACTCTTTATTTACCGAATTTTAAGGGATTGGCACACATTTCAGTCTTATCTAGCTTGGTCTGTTGGCAGCTTAAGGTCTGAGGAGCTTTCTTCCTCTTGTCATATTTCAGTTCTTTTCCCTAAATTAATATCAAGATCTTGAAAATATCTCTGAACACTTGTAAAAAAAATTCCCAACTTGTTTAACAATCTGTTGCCTTCAAGTGTGTGAGGTATGTATGTCAGGGAGAGGGAAGGCAGGCTAAGCTTGCATTTGTGATAACTGCTGTAGTGTCTTCTAGCACCTGTGATATTTACAGTGTGTAAACTGAACTCCTAACATCTAATCTTAAAACTGAAAAAGCGGGAGCCACAACTTCAGGTTTCAGTATGTCTCAGTCATATTTGTGATAAAATACAATCCCTCTTTTCCCACTCTCCTTGCCCGCCACCCCCCCCCAGTTTCACAAATGCCACTATGTACCAGTGATGAGTAAATGGAACAACCTTTTAAGTTAGCTGAGGAGAGAATACTTAAAAGGTTTGTACATGGGGAGTTTTAGTTTGTGGCAAAGAGAATATTGACGCAATGAAGAACAGTACTGGAACAAGAAATAAGGAAGGCTTGCACTTCAGGCTAGGATGGGGTGAAGAAATACAGAACTGCAGTAATGGCAATAGCTGCTGCAAGCAAGAACTGGCAGGCAGGTGAGGGGTCTGAAGTCAGTTGGAAGACTGCCTTTGCCTGCCCTTTGCAGTTCATGTAAAATACATTGAAATTCACAGCATCAATTTAAAAATCTTAGTGTAACTCACCATGTGAACCTTTATAAATGACTGAAAATACTCTTTGTCTGCTACTGAAGGTGACTGCAACAAGGACTGTTCTATTCTTTTCATTCAGGTGCTGCTTGCAAAATCATCACAATCATCTTTGTGGTCATAGCAGTATGGTTGTATAAGCCTCCACCAGCAAGTGCAGCCCTGTCACAAAAGGATTCAGAAACGGTGTCTGCTATACAGACATAAATCATGTGCAAATCAGGGGCTTTTGAAAGAAGCCAATAAGAATAAGCACTGTTACAACACTTGTACCAAAGTTCTTGTACACCATTACCTAATATAAAAGATCATATTCAGTTCTTGAACAAATTATTTGTGAATGTGTGTAGTGTTCTCTAACTTGCTAAACATACTTTTTAGTATTTTATTGTGTAAATCTAAAAAAGTGACTCTTAAATTTGCAGTTTAAGTTTAAATGTCAAATTTATAGCTTAAGTGAAACAAGGTGGAATACTTGATCAAAAAAAAAAAACCAAAAAAACCCCCTAAAAACCCAGGGAAAATGAGCTGAACTGGGCTGACTGTAAGCCCCATTTCCCCCTGCTTATAAAGTAATAACTAAGTGAGACTGTAGTGGGAGAAAAGAAGTATCTTGGTATTTTAAAGGGAACTGTGGATGTTTAAAATGGAATTATTTTAATGTGCACATAATCTGGGCCTAGTGCCTTAGTTGGGGATTTCGACGGTAGATACACTTGGGAATGTGCAAGTATGGACATGTTTTAAGTGCAAACATTCATTTAAATATTTGTTAATTTAAGTCCCTTAGTTTCTACCTGGAATATATACAGAAAGTTGCTATCCAGCTGCTTTCTTGTTAACATTTTTCTATAAAATTTGAAAATAAACCCTATTTTCTTACTACTTCTGTGTATGCTATGTCATTTCTAAGTGACTGAGTTCTAGGCTTCTCAACTCCAAGAAACACAGTGCTGAAAGCTAGCAAAGAATATGTATGCAAGGATCAAAAGTAGGAAAATACTGCTTTAGTTGTTCCTTTTGACTTACACACTGCATGCTCTTAAAACTGTATTTGTATAGCACAACGGATATGCTATACAAATTAGCCACTCTTAACCAGGGAATATTAAACTACATTGCCTGTTACTGAAATATCATTCAATATTGACTGGAAATTTTTAATGAGCAAGATATCCTCTGCACTTGCTTTACTTTGTTAATGTAAACTTTCTTTTTGTTGCACTGGCTATGCAAGTCACTCTTACATAGCTGTGTATGCCCTTTTCATCTGGTTACATGGACTGTACTCATTGACTCTATCAAGATTTTTAAACAAGTGCTACAGCAAAGGATTATGGCATATGGGTCATGTTTAATCTAGTTCTTTAAATTCAGCTGTTAAACTAGGTAGAGGCTAAGTATATCACTCAAGAAGATGATCCTCTATAACTATTTAGAACTATTCAAGAAATAAAGCAAAGTAAACTACATCTCCTGAAAATACAAGACTTCATGACTTTTGAGGCAGAGGAGGAAAGGGGCAGAATACAACAACTGAATTTATGCTTGCTCTATTTAGTTGAATGTTCTGATAAATGGGCTCATATCAAGATGGGTAACTTCCCTTGAAAGAACTAAATACTGATCTTCCATAAAGTTTGGGAATGTGGCCTAAAACTCTGAATTCAGTTTCCAGCTCTGACTGGTTTGTGTGGGATATAGCAAATCACTTAATCACAGTAAGGACATGCAGTATAGTAGCCAAACTGGTAAACTTGCTTCTCTTGTTCTGTCTGTGCTGCGAGATCATAGCTTACAGTTTCTACTGCTTCATGTGATTGCGCAGATTACAAAACTTGTGGGGCAGAGCAACAGGAGCTTCCTCTTTTGGGGAAGTTATCAGTACTCAGTTGCACTGGAGTGGTTATTTGGGTGGAGAAGGAAGGAAGTATTGCCATGGTGTAAAATTACAGTTAATGCTAAAGGCTGTTGCAATTTATAATCTAGCCTATGACTTGTTAAAGATTACCCTCGCTAGTTTAGGAGGAGCATCACAATGATTAGAAGAGAGATCAAATATTTAGAATTGGCTAAGTTTACCCATTTACCTCGTGTCATAGCAATATTAAATTAACAGACATTGCAATAGATAGCAGAGTGCAGTAGATGTTATGTCAAAGGTTTTACTAAGGTAAATATCACAGACAAGCTGAACAAGTGTATGTTAGGTATTTGGACAGGGAGGGTGAACTAAAAACTGCCTAAATGACTGGGCCCAGAGGGTCAAAGCACAAGGTCCAGTTTGAGTCAAGTCACTAGTGCTGTACTCCACAGGTCAATACTGGGGCCCGTCCAGTTCAACCTCTTCATTAATGACCTGAATGATGGTATAGATTGTGCTCTGGAGGAGTGGCTGATAGACCAAGGCAGTTGTGCTGCCATCCAGAGGGACCATGACAAGATGGAGAAATGAAGTTCAACAAGGGGGAGTGCAAAGGCCTGCACCCAGGGATGAATAAACCCATGCACCAGTAACATGCAGGAGCCCACCCAGCTGGAAAGCAGCTCTTCAGAGAAGCCCCTTGGGTTTGTGGTGGACAAGCTGACCATAAGGCAGCAATACACCCTTTCTGCAAAAAAGGCCAGTAGCATCCTGGGCTGCATTAGGCAAAGCACTGCCAGCAGGTTGAGGGTGGTGATCCTTTCCCTCTACTCAGCCCTGGTGAGAAACACCTCAAGTGCTGTGTTCAGAGTGCTGGGCTCGAGTACTGGGGTCTCCAGAATGAGAGCATTACAGACTTACTGGAGGGGCTGTGGTGCAGGGCTACAGAGATGATTAAGGGACTGGAGTATCTTTCATACTGAGAGAGCTGGGGAAGCTCTTTTCAGCCAAGAGAAGAAAAGGCTCAGGAGAATCTGAGCCTTGAAGAGGGGAAAGCCAGACTATTCTTACTAACGGCCAACTGCCTGGACAAGAGGCAGTGGGCATAAACTGAAACACATGAAGTTCTCTCAATAAATTTTTTTTTTTTTTTTTTTTTAGCTTTTAAGGTAGTCAAACATTGGAACAGGTTGCCTGAGAAGTTGTGGAGTCACCATTGTTGGAGATGTTTAAAACCTGATTGGACATGATCCTGAATAATCTCTTCTGGCTGACCTTCCTTGAGCAGGGGTTGGACTAGATGATCTCAGGCAGTCCCTTCCAACCTAAATGGTTCTGTTTCTGTGAGATGCTCCTCAGTGTGGCCTTTGTCCCATTCACCATATGATGTGTAACTTCTACGTGGATTCTTGCAAAGGAAGACCTATCTGTTGTGCAGTGTCCCTTGGTTTCTTTTAGGGGGTTTTGTTGTTCTGGGGTTTTTGTCTTTTTCTTTTTTTCTTTTTTTTAATATCAGCATGTATCTCACATTAAACAACACTTAGCAGCTAATACTGTGTGTATGTCTCACTAGGTAATCTTTTCATACTAACAGTCATAAAACATTTCAGGCAGCGCTTGGCAGTCTTCTGTGATCTGTGCATACTCTGTGAACTACTTTTTAGAGTGTGTGGACTGCTAAATTCATGGACTCGTATCTTTGAGGTTGTATTAACTACCACAGATTTGGGACTTAAGAAGAATCTCAAGTATTGTCCAAAACAAAGATGATTTAAAACTTTTTGAAAGTTGCATCTTCTAACTAGCATGATTATTTTTAGAAACAAATCCTGGTGCAAATGAGGCTGCCCAACTGAACACTGAGCAAAAGTTCTAATTCATCTGTGAGCTAGAAGTAAACTTCTACATCTAAATACATTGCTCTGCAGACTAGTGCAAATAAAGTCTCCAAAACTTTATTGGAGCCTCTTCACAGTAAATCTGTAGGATTCCAGGAGTCTTACAAGGGAGTAACAGTAATTAGCTGTTACAGTTGAGACTAAACTTCGGATCTAAACTTTCTTTGTTGTTGTGTGTTCTTTTATCTCAAAATCAAGACTGCATTTCTCTTTGTTCTGCAGAGGAAGGATGATGATAAGGTAATCTCAGGCTCTGTTTGGAGCATGGAAGCTGTGCCCCTGTTAAAATAAGCTAGTTCTTTGTATTTGAGCACTTCTCCAAAGTGAATAGCTTAACATAAAAATTCACTGCAATGGCAAGAGAACATTCTTCCTGGCTTCATGAATACTAAGAAAGGGGAAAATCTGAATTTTATTTTGCGTGTGGCTATCATACATATCATTACTTAAAAGGGTAAAGTACTTTGTGTACATACCTTGCTTGCAGAGTCTCTTTGCACATTATTAGATGTATCTGAACAAAATGACCTGATGGGTTGGTTGTAAACAGAGTAGACCCAAGTATGTCTATTGATATATTATAGACAGAAATATGGGAACCTTAGGAATGCTGCAGCTTGCTAGCTGTTTTTACATATTTGAAAGACAGTTGCTGACCATTACTGAGGTGGTGACAGTGGGCCTTGCGTTGCTTCCTGGTCTAAAACATGTTAAATGTAGATCAGGTGTAAACAAGTGTAAGAAAATTACTGAAAAAGCATCTTGGAGGTCTGAAAGTCATCAAAAGGGTTGTGGGTTGAGTAGTATTTCAGTTTGCGAATGAATGAGTGTGAAATATTCTGTAATCTTTTGTTACAGTAGCAGAACATGCAGTTGTGATTTAACATATGACTAGGTTGGGGTTTTTTTTGTTGTGTTTGATTTTGTGGGGTTTTTTTTCCCCAGCAGATGGCTCTGTTCTGCTGGTTTGTTTTTTTTTTTTTTTTTTTTTGTTGGAACATTATGGGTCTTTAGAGTGCAGAGCAGAAAATATGCAGCTTTTGCAAAAATATTCTGTTAATGGAAGTGTGACTGGTATCTGTTGTCTGCTCACTTTCTGTTTTTGCAGTGACAGTGACTTACTTCTTGTGGTAAATACATGAATATGCTTGTTTATGATTTCTTTTTGTGATGTCTCTGTGCAGCACTCGTTGCAGCTCTATTTCTGTATGGGTTCTTGTGTTTATTTTTCCCCAGAGACAGAAATCCCCAGGCAACGAAGGCCAGCGTCAGATTAGAGAAGCTTTACAAAAATACAGAGGGAGCAAATTAATCTTATATCTCAGTAATAAATGATGCAAAAAACCTGGAATACGTTATTTGTGTGCTGCTGCCATGGCAAATATACCCAGAAGAGTGAGTCTGCTATACAGAGGAGTCTTGTGAATCTGGGCTGCCTACTCCTG